GCACTTGAGCCACTGCTGCAGGGACAGCTTCACCTGCTCCATGTCGGCCTTGGTGTCAGAGAGCAGGATCATGTCGTCGACATAGACCAGAATGAAGAAGCGGCGGGGGGAGGAGCGGATGAAGAGGCTGGCGTCAGAGTGGGAAGCAGAGAAGCCAAGAGACCCCAAGGTGGCAGCCAGCTTTGCATGCCACTCACGCGGCGCCTGCTTCAAGCCGTAGATGGGGCGACGCAGCTGCCAGACAGTGTTCTCAGGAAAGGCTGCGTGGAACCCGGGGGGCCGCCGGAGGAAAATGCGCTCATGCAGTTCGCCCTGCAGGAACGCATTGGAGACGTCCATGGAATCGATTTCCATGTCGTCACGGGCACCAATGTCCATGGCGGCGCGAAGGGTGGGTGGTTTGGCGGTGGGGGCGTAGGTGAACCAGTAGTCCTCAGCCCGAGTCTGCGTGAACCCCTTGGCGCAGTAGCGGGCCTTGTACACTGGTTCCTCGCCCGGCAGCTGCTTCACCCGAAAGACCCATTTGCCGTCAACGAGATTAGCGCCAGCAGGGAGAGGGACATCGACAAAGGAGTCGTTGTGAATGAAAGCCTCACACTCCAGGAAGATCGCTGCTATCCATTTGTCCGCATCAGGGCAGGTGATGGCTTCCTAGAAGGTGGAGGGAGTGAAGATGGTGGGGGTAGTGGTGGCGCCAAGGACGGGAACGCCCAGGAAGTCAAGGTAGAGGGCGGCAAGGAATGGAGTGTGCTCCCGAATGTTGAGAAACTCCTCATGGGAGTCCTCAAGGAGCTGAATGGAGGCAGGAGAAGGAGCCCCAAGGATTTTGTCCACAGAGCGGGTATGGATGTAAGGGAGGAGGAAGGGGGAGGAACGGGAGGTGGCACGATGCCGCTGCTGCCGCTGGTGCTGCTGAAGCTGCTGCCCTTGTTGCTGCGGCTGCGGCTGACCGTGTGGGTGCTGCGGCTGCTGAGGCTGCTGAGGCTGCTGCTGCTGCTGCTGTCCCGGCTGCCGCTGCTGCTGCTGCTACTGGCCCGGCTGCTGCTGCTGCTGGCCCGGCTGCTGCTGCTGCTGCTGTCCCGGCTGCTGCTGCTGCTGCTGCTGTCCCGGCTGCTGCTGCTGCTGCTGCTGCCCCGGCTGCTGTCCCGGTTGCCGCTGCTGCTGCTGTTGCTGCTGCAGCTGCTGCTGCTGCTGCTGCTGCTGCTGCTGCTGCTGCTCCTGCTGCTGCTGCTGCTGCTGCTGCTGCTGCTGCTGCTGCTGCTGCTGCTGCTGCTGCTGCTGCTGCTGCTGGTGGTGCTGCTGCTGCTGCTGATCCGGCTGCTGGAAGGAGGGGGAGGGAGAGGGGGAGGGAGGGGGTGCGGCCGAGTGAGCGGGGGGAGCGGGTGCGGCAGGGTCGTAGACATCGGCGGAGGAGGAGGGAGGGAGCGGAGCTGCGATGGGTGGGAGGAGAGGGGCTGGAGGGAGAAGGGGCGGGAGGACGGTGTCGGTCCAAGCGAAGGGACGAGTGGGAGGAGGGAGAGGATCAGGGGGAGGAGTGGAGTAATAGGGGACGGATTCGTCGAAGACGACGTCGCTGCTGCGGATGAGGCGATTGGTGGGAGGGTGGAGGAAGAGGTAGCCTGGGGAGTCGCGATTGTGCCCAAGGTAAACGCATTCCAGGGCGCGAGGAGCAAGCTTGCCAGCGGCGCGGGAGCGGTCGGCGGGTGGGATGAGAACGAAGGCCTTGCATCCCCAAACGCGAAGGCTGGCAGCGTCGGGTTTGGCGTTGGACCAAAGCTCTGTAGGGGAGGAGGAAGGATGCTGAGGGTGGGAGCGGAGATTAAGGAGGAGAGCGGCGTGGAGGAGGGCATAGCTCCAGAGGGAAGGAGGGGTGGAGGCATGAGCAATGAGACAGCGAGCAATCTTGGTGATCTCACGAATGCGGCTCTCAGCAATGCCGTTCTGCTGAGGGGAGTGGGGAAGGGTGGAGGTCTTTTGGATGCCGTAGGTGGCGCAGTATGTGGCAAGGGTGTTAGTGATGAACTCACCCCCACCATCAGAGTGAAGGCGGCCGATGGGGCGTTTGAAGTGATTGCGGCACTGTTCGGCCCAGTTGATGACCACTCCCGGCACCTGGTCTTTCGTGTGAAGGAAGAAGGTGGTGGAGTACCGGCTGTGGTCGTCAACGAGGACGAGCATGTACCGATGCCCCTGGCAGGAGCGGATGGGATAGGGGCCCCAGAGGTCCATGTGCACCAGGTCAATGGGGGCGGCGGCGAAAGTGGGATGACTGCGGTGGGGGGACTGTTTGAGCTTGCCGTGAATGCACGAAGGGCATGGCGGAGAGGGGGAGGAGGGGAGGGGAGGTAAGACGGGAGGAAGGCTGCGGAGGAGGCGAGAGGTGACTGTGGTGCGAGGGGCGGTGAAGTTGGGATGGCCGAGTCTGTGGTGTAAGAGGACAGCAGGGTGGGAGAGGGTAGTGGAGGAGGAGGGAGATGGGGTAAAGGAAGGAACGGGAGGGGAGGAGGAGGATGGTGGGAAGGGAGAAGAGGTTACTTGAGTGGGAGGGGAGGGGGGAAGTGAAGGAAGATGAGGTGGACCGGTGGAAGCACCGGAACGAGTGGTGACATGGCAGAAAGATGTGCGAGGTGTGCGGAGTGTATAGAGGCGAGTGCGGGGGCAAAGCGGAATGCGGAGAAGGTTGTTTCTGATCGTTGCAGGTACGGGTTCGCGCAGTTGGTAGAGACACTCGTCGTCTACCTTCGTGCTCAACAGATGAAGCACATCCGGGAGAGTCCTTACCTGGGCATTCAGTTGGACGAGAGCACGGACCGTCGACGCGAAAAACACCTCATCGTCTATCTGTCATTCCTCCGCAACAACAGGCCAGTCACTGAATTCTTCGTGTGAAGATTGAGAATTCAACAAGTGATTTCATTAGGGGACAACCTAGCATACATGGTTGAAAGGAAAGGTTGGAAGGGAAGGATGGAAGGGAAGGATCAAAGTGACCATAGGTTGGGTTGACCTCATTTGGGGGGATGAGGGAACCATAGGTCAAGAGGGTTGGGTTGCCCATACTTTGTAGAAGTGAGGCAACCCTAGGCCCACTTGGCTTGGGGGAACCTCAATTGTGAGAAGTGAGGTACCCACAAGTCAAGAGGGTTGCATTTGGGGGCTCCACCACAATTGGGTGGATTGGCACCCCAAGGTGCAAGACTACACCCAAAGTTGGGTGTAGTCCCAACCCAGCTGTACACCACAATTGGTGTACAGTCACATGTGTTGGCATGCTACACAATATATATTTTAACACAACCCCTTAGCATGCTAACACAAGAAGAGAACAACCCCTGGGTCAAGGGGCGCCCGGGCGAGCAAGGCCAACGAGGCGGAGGAAAGCAGAGTGCGTGGGGCGAAGGAGGGCTTTAGTGAAGATGTCGGCCAAGTTGGCCTCGGTTGCAATCTTGCGAACGGTAATGAGGCCCTTCTGGACGAGTTCGCGAACGAAGAAGTAGCGGAGTTCGATGTGCTTGGAGCGGGCGTGATAGACGGGGTCCTGAGTGAGATGGATGGTGCTGGCGTTGTCGCACCAGAGAGTGGGGCACGTCTGGGGGGCGCCAAGCTCTTCAAGAAGGAAGCAGAGCCAGCGCGACTCCGGGGCGGCCATGGTGCCAGCGTAGAGCTCTGCCTCGCAGGTGGAGAGAGAGATAGCGGAGGAGCGGGTGGAGCGCCAGCTGATGAGGCCGCTGCCAAGGGTGAAGCCATAGCCCTGGGAGGAGCGGCGGTCCGGCTGCGTGTCGGCCCAGGAGGAGTCACTGAAGCCCGAGAGAAGGGGACGGGAAGGGCCGCCGAGGGTGAGGGCAAGGTCCCTGGTCCCGCGAAGGTAGCGGAGGACCCGCTTGGCAGCTCTCCAGTGCTCCTCAGAGTGACGACCGGTGCCGACAAAGCGAGCGAGCATGCTGATGGGGTAGGCAAGGTCGGGGCGGGTGCACATCATTGCGTACATCAAGGACCCAACGAGCTCGGCGTAGGGGTGGGGGGAGGAGGTGGGGGAGGTGGGTGGAGCGAGTTGGTGACCAAAGGGGAGCGGGGTGGAAACAGGCTTGGCCTGCGTCATGTCGAACTTCTCCAAGACCTGGTCGATGTAATGGGACTGGGAGAGGGTGATTGTGCGAGCAGGGCGGTTGCGCGTGGTGGTCATGCCGAGGTAGTGAGTGAGGGCGCCAAGGTCCTTGCACTTGAGCCACTGCTGCAGGGACAGCTTCACCTGCTCCATGTCGGCCTTGGTGTCAGAGAGCAGGATCATGTCGTCGACATAGACCAGAATGAAGAAGCGGCGGGGGGAGGAGCGGATGAAGAGGCTGGCGTCAGAGTGGGAAGCAGAGAAGCCAAGAGACCCCAAGGTGGCAGCCAGCTTTGCATGCCACTCACGCGGCGCCTGCTTCAAGCCGTAGATGGGGCGACGCAGCTGCCAGACAGTGTTCTCAGGAAAGGCTGCGTGGAACCCGGGGGGCCGCCGGAGGAAAATGCGCTCATGCAGTTCGCCCTGCAGGAACGCATTGGAGACGTCCATGGAATCGATTTCCATGTCGTCACGGGCACCAATGTCCATGGCGGCGCGAAGGGTGGGTGGTTTGGCGGTGGGGGCGTAGGTGAACCAGTAGTCCTCAGCCCGAGTCTGCGTGAACCCCTTGGCGCAGTAGCGGGCCTTGTACACTGGTTCCTCGCCCGGCAGCTGCTTCACCCGAAAGACCCATTTGCCGTCAACGAGATTAGCGCCAGCAGGGAGAGGGACATCGACAAAGGAGTCGTTGTGAATGAAAGCCTCACACTCCAGGAAGATCGCTGCTATCCATTTGTCCGCATCAGGGCAGGTGATGGCTTCCTGGAAGGTGGAGGGAGTGAAGATGGTGGGGGTAGTGGTGGCGCCAAGGACGGGAACGCCCAGGAAGTCAAGGTAGAGGGCGGCAAGGAATGGAGTGGGCTCCCGAATGTTGAGAAACTCCTCATGGGAGTCCTCAAGGAGCTGAATGGAGGCAGGAGAAGGAGCCCCAAGGATTTTGTCCACAGAGCGGGTATGGATGTAAGGGAGGAGGAAGGGGGAGGAACGGGAGGTGGCACGACGCCGCTGCTGCCGCTGGTGCTGCTGAAGCTGCTGCCCTTGTTGCTGCGGCTGCGGCTGACCGTGTGGGTGCTGCGGCTGCTGAGGCTGCTGAGGCTGCTGCTGCTGCTGCTGCTGCTGTCCCGGCTGCCGCTGCTGCTGCTGCTACTGGCCCGGCTGCTGCTGCTGCTGGCCCGGCTGCTGCTGCTGCTGCTGTCCCGGCTGCTGCTGCTGCTGCTGTCCCGGCTGCTGCTGCTGCCCCGGCTGCTGTCCCGGTTGCCGCTGCTGCTGCTGTTGCTGCTGCAGCAGCTGCTGCTGCTGCTGCTGCTGCTGCTGCTGCTGCTGCTGCTGCTGCTGCTGCTGCTGCTGCTGGTGCTGGTGCTGCTGCTGCTGCTGCTGCTGCTGCTGCTGCTGCTGCTGCTGCTGCTGCTGCTGGTGCTGTGCTGCTGCTGCTGCTGCTGCTGCTGATCCGGCTGCTGGAAGGAGGGGGAGGGAGAGGGGGAGGGAGGGGGTGCGGCCGAGTGAGCGGGGGGAGCGGGTGCGGCAGGGTCGTAGACATCGGCGGAGGAGGAGGAGGGAGGGAGCGGAGCTGCGATGGGTGGGAGGAGAGGGGCTGGAGGGAGAAGGGGCGGGAGGACGGTGTCGGTCCAAGCGAAGGGACGAGTGGGAGGAGGGAGAGGATCAGGGGGAGGAGTGGAGTAATAGGGGACGGATTCGTCGAAGACGACGTCGCTGCTGCGGATGAGGCGATTGGTGGGAGGGTGGAGGAAGAGGTAGCCTGGGGAGTCGCGATTGTGCCCAAGGTAAACGCATTCCAGGGCGCGAGGAGCAAGCTTGCCAGCGGCGCGGGAGCGGTCGGCGGGTGGGATGAGAACGAAGGCCTTGCATCCCCAAACGCGAAGGCTGGCAGCGTCGGGTTTGGCGTTGGACCAAAGCTCTGTAGGGGAGGAGGAAGGATGCTGAGGGTGGGAGCGGAGATTAAGGAGGAGAGCGGCGTGGAGGAGGGCATAGCTCCAGAGGGAAGGAGGGGTGGAGGCATGAGCAATGAGACAGCGAGCAATCTTGGTGATCTTACGAATGCGGCTCTCAGCAATGCCGTTCTGCTGAGGGGAGTGGGGAAGGGTGGAGGTCTTTTGGATGCCGTAGGTGGCGCAGTATGTGGCAAGGGTGTTAGTGATGAACTCACCCCCACCATCAGAGTGAAGGCGGCCGATGGGGCGTTTGAAGTGATTGCGGCACTGTTCGGCCCAGTTGATGACCACTCCCGGCACCTGGTCTTTCGTGTGAAGGAAGAAGGTGGTGGAGTACCGGCTGTGGTCGTCAACGAGGACGAGCATGTACCGATGCCCCTGGCAGGAGCGGATGGGATAGGGGCCCCAGAGGTCCATGTGCACCAGGTCAATGGGGGCGGCGGCGAAAGTGGGATGACTGCGGTGGGGGGACTGTTTGAGCTTGCCGTGAATGCACGAAGGGCATGGCGGAGAGGGGGAGGAGGGGAGGGGAGGTAAGACGGGAGGAAGGCTGCGGAGGAGGCGAGAGGTGACTGTGGTGCGAAGGGCGGTGAAGTTGGGATGGCCGAGTCTGTGGTGTAAGAGGACAGCAGGGTGGGAGAGGGTAGTGGAGGAGGAGGGAGATGGGGTAAAGGAAGGAACGGGAGGGGAGGAGGAGGATGGTGGGAAGGGAGAAGAGGTTACTTGAGTGGGAGGGGAGGGGGGAAGTGAAGGAAGATGAGGTGGACCGGTGGAAGCACCGGAACGAGTGGTGACATGGCAGAAAGATGTGCGAGGTGTGCGGAGTGTGTAGAGGCGAGTGCGGGGGCAAAGCGGAATGCGGAGAAGGAATCGATCGGAGGAGGTCTGGTAGAGATCACAGTAATTGGCATAACCGGGGTAAATGGCAGTGATACCAACACCTTGGAGCTCACGGTGGGAGAGGAGGTTGTTGCGGAGAGTGGGGATGTGGAGACCTGTGACCTTACCGGAGGGGAAGGCAGTGCAAGGGAGGGTGGAAAGGTGAGTGCATGGAATGGAAAAGCTGGAATCAGCTCCATGGACCTGAGTGGGAAGTGGTAGTGGGGTGAGAGTGCCAGCATCTTTCAGTGCGGTTTCAGTGGCTCCACTGTCAAGGACAAAGTCCAGGGTGGGAGAAGAGGGAGGAGGGGGTGGGACGGGATACTGAAACGAAGTCTCATTGATAGCAGAGGGATACATGGCAGCGACGGACGGTGCAACACTGATATTACCAAGGAAACTACCAGATGTGTCGGGAACACTGGGGGGGGGGGGAGGGGAGGGAACCCCAGGGGGGAGGAGGAGGAAGGGAGGTATGAGCGGCCATGGCAGCCGTGTCGAAGGTGAGTGGCTGCTGCTGCCAAGGTGGGGGAAGGAACTGCTGCTGCTGCTGCGGCGGTGGCTGGAAGAACTGCGGCGGCGGCGGCTGCTGGGGCTGGAGAAACTGTGGCTGCTGCTGCTGCTGGTGGAAGTACAGGTGCTGCTGCTGGTGGTGCTGCTGAAACTGCTGCAGCTGTGAGGGTGGGGAGGGGGTAACCATGCGGAGGTGAGCAGAGAGGAAAGAGGGGAGGGTCTGAATATCCACTAAGGAGGGGCGAGGTGCGATCGAGTTCCAGCGAGGAGGGGTGCCAGTGTTGCCTCGATCAAACCAGGCGTCGTCGAGTGCCTTAAAGCACGTGGTGGGGGGATGGTTGGTCTGGCCACAAGGGGTACCAGCATGGGGTCCATGGCGGCGCACATATGTGCATGGGGGGAGAGTGCCAGGGCGTCCGCCTCGAGTCACAGCACCACCAGAACCGGAAGGTCCTTCAGCAGGGGCGCTGCCAGCACCACCTCCACCGGCACCACGGCCACCACGGCCACCACTACCACCACCGCCACCACCACGGCCGCCACCACCACCACCACCACCCGTTCCACGGCCTCCGCCGCCGCCGCTGCGACCACCCTGGTTGCGCGGCTGCGTAGCGTTGAGGGAGGTGGAGGAGGAGGACTGAGGGGTGGTAAGGTTGACAACAGGGGTACGGAGCTTGACCTCCGTGTCAATGATCCACTGGACCACGTCATCGAGGCCGGCCATGGGGTTGGCCTCAGTGAAGGCATGGAGGCGGGACTCGTAGTCCGGGGTGAGGTTGTAGAGGAGGTGGTGGATATGCAGAGGCTCGGGGAGGGCAGCTTGGCGTGCCGCAAGGCGATCAGCGACCTCCTGCATGCGCCCCACGTAGTCAACTGCGCCATCACAAGTGGCGAGGGTGATGGAGAAGTACTCCTGGAACAGGGCGCCGACAAAGCTGATGTCGCGACGCTCGAACATCGCCTGGAGCTCGGCCCAGATGAGGGAGGCGCGCATCTCGCGAGCTTGGAAACGGCGCATGAGGGTACCAGGGAGTGCGCCGAGGAGGACGGTGCAGGCGCGGTTATCGGCAGTGGCCCATGCGATGCTCCGAGGGAGGTAGTCCGCCATGGCCGTATTGTACTCATCAAGGAGCGCCAGGTGATTGGCGCGTTCCGCTACCGCGAAGTCGTGGTTATGTACCGCAACCTCATGCTCCGCCTTGCGGATGAGGTATTCGCGGCGATCGTGGAGAAATGCGGCATCGGCGGCATCCTGGAGCGCCGGGGTAGTGGCGATCTCCAAGGTGGGTTCAGTAGGAGGAGGACCAGGAGGAATGGGGGGTGGAGGGGGTTCGCCGGGGTGATTGGGTGCCGTGGGCTGGAGGGCTTGTGGGCGGCGGAGGAGGACGTCGATGACGCAGTAGGGTCCGACGAATGCATCTTGGAGAACACGGCGGATGCTCCCGACGAAGGAATGCCAGTTGATCGCCGAGCGGTCCGCGGCAAGCTGAAGCTTGTCGACGGAGGAGGCGTCAATGGGAGGGGGGAGAGGGGGAGGAGTGGTAGCCATGAGGGGCGACGGCGGGTGGACCCGCGGCGGCCTGGAGGTGGACGGCGGCGGGTGGACCCGCGGTGGTCAAGGGGGGGGGGGGGGCGACGGCGGGTGGACGTGCGGCAACCGAGAAGGAGGAGGGCGGGGGGAGGAGGAGGGGGTGCTGCTGCGGGGAGTGGAGGTCTTCTTCGGCTGCTGCTGCTGCTGCCGCTGCTGTCGATGTTGCCGTTGCTGCCGCTGCTGCTGCTGCTGAGGGAGGAGGGGGAGGAAGTTGGTGGATGCAGCTGCTGCCGCTGCTGCTCCTGATGCTGCCGCTGCTGCCGCTGCTGAGGGAGGAGGGGGAGGAAGATGGTGGATGCAGCTGCTGCCGCTGCTGCTCCTGATGTTGCCGCTGCTGCCGCTGCTGAGGGAGGAGGGGGAGGAAGATGGTGGATGCAGCTGCTGCCGCTGCTGCTCCTGATGCTGCCACTGCTGCCGCTGCAGAGGGAGGAGGGGGGGGGGGGGGGGGGGGAGGGGAGGAGGGGGAGGAAGATGGTGGATGCAGCTGCTACCGCTGCTGCTTCTGATGCTGCCGCTGCTGCCGCTGCTGCCGCTGTTGCTGCTGTGGCTGCTGAGGTGTCCCGGTTGCTGCTGCGTGGGAGGAGAGGAGGAGGAAAGGGGGAGTGGGAGGGAGAACGCAGGTGTAGGTGTGGGTGGGACTGTTGCTGCTAATGACGCTGCTGCTGAGGGATGAGGCGGCTGCTACGAGGAAGGCGCGGCGGCGGGATGCGCGGGTGGCGACGAGGGAGTCGTGGCGGCAGAATGAGCGAGCGGCGACGGGGAGGGTGCGGTGGCGGGATGCGCGGGCGGCGACGAGGAAGGCGCGGCGGCGGGATACGCGGGCGGCGACGAGCAGGTCGCGGCGGTAAGATGCGGGGGGGGGGGGGGGGGGGGGGGGCGATTTTTAGGTCGCGGCGACGGGATGTGCGGGCGGCGACGAGCAGGTCGCGGCAAAAGGTCGCGCGGGCGGCGACTTTAGGTCGCGGCGGCAAGGGGTGCAGGCGGCGACGAGAAGGTTGCGGCGGCGAGATACTCAGGCGGCGACGCGAAGTTGCGGCGGCGGGTCGTGCAAGCGGCGACGAGAAGGTCGCGGCAGCGGGATGCGTAGGCGGCGACGCGAAGTCGCGGCGATGGGGAGCGCAGGCGGCGACGCGAAGTCGCGGCGGCGGGACGGGAGGCGACGACGGGGCGTCGCGACGGCGGGATGCGCAGGCGGCGCCGAGGAAGGCGCGGCGGCGGTAGGGGGAGGCGGCGACGCGACGTCGCGGCAGCGGGAGGGGCAGGCGACGACGGGGTGTCGCGGCGGAGGGATGCGCGGGCGACGCCGAAGTAGGCGCGGCGGCGGGAGGGAGACGGCGACGGGGGGTCGCGGCAGGGGGAGGAGGAGGCGGCGACAAGGCGTCGCGGCGGGATGCGCAGGCGGCGCCAGAGAAGGCGCGGCGGCGGAAAAAAAAAAGGGTGGAGGGGGCAGCGACGGTGTGTCGCGGCGACGGGGGGGCTGTGATGCACTCGCGGCGGTGGGATCTGTCAAACATTATATATGTTGTTGTAGTTGTTTAGGCTACAGTGGGTTAGCCTATAGGGGGTACACATTCCTAGGTCTTCATACTTGTACTCATTTCACTCTTAGTTCATTCATTCTTGTTCAACATGGTATAGAACAGGTCCTTCCTAGGACCGATTTTTTTTAGGGCCCACCACAACCTACCTACCTACCTGCGCCCTAGGGCGCCTCGGCTTTCACGCCCCTAGAGGCCCCGTCGGCCCCGCGCTCTCGCACCTAGAGGCCTCGGTCGGCCCCGCGCTCGCTTTTAGAGGCCCCGAATCGGCCCCGCGCTTACCCCTAGAGGCCCGCGTCGGCCCCGCGCTCATCCTTACCGGCCCCGATCGGCCCCGCGCTCGTCCCTCACGGCCCCGATAGGCCCCGCGCTCGCCCTTAGAGGCCCACGTCGGCCCCGCGCTCGTCCCTTACAGCCCCGATCGGCCCCGCGCTCGTCCCTCACGGCCCCGATAGGCCCCGCGCTCGCCCTTAGCACCCACGTCGGCCCCGCGCTTGCCCTTTGCACCCACGTCGGCCCCGCGCTCGTCCCTCACGGCCCCGCCCGCTCCCCGCGCTCGCCCTTAGCGGCCCCAAACGGCCCCACCCAGACCGAGCAGCCCGAACCGAGCCGACCCGAGCCGCCCGAACCGAGCCGCCCGAACCGAGCCGCGCCGCCCGAACCGAGCCGCGCCGCCCGACCCGAGCCGCCCGAACCGAGCAGCGCCGCCCGACCCGAGCCGCGCCGCCCTACCCATACCGAGCCGCGCCGCCCTACCTATACCGAGCCGCGCCGCCCTACCTACCCTACTGCTCCTACTGCTTTTCCTACTGCTGCTACCATGGCTAGCCCTCCTGTCCTAGCCTTCGATACTGAGGGCCGCCCAGTGAAGTTCGACACCTGGCTTGATGACCTACACCTCTTCCTACAGCTCACTGCCAAGGAAGACATCTCGCTGTACGATCATGCCTTAGGCCACGCTACTGCTCCTGCTGCTACTGCTGACAGCACTGCCCGCTCACAGTGGCAGACTCGTGACGCCCATACTCGCTTCGCTATTCGCAACTCTCTGCCGATAGATGAGCGCGAGCACTTTGGGCAGCACAAGACTGCACAGGCACTGTACACTGCTGTCGTTGCCCGCTACTCCTCGCCGGCCTCTGCCGCTCTAGGCCGTCTCTCTCTTCCCTACCTGTTCCCCGACCTAGCTTCCTTCCACACTGTCGCTGATCTCATTACCCACCTCCGTTCTAGTGAGGCTCGCTTCCGCGCCGCTATGCCTGATGAGTTCCTTGCCAAGAACCCACCCCCGCTCTGGCTCACTCTCTACCACCTAGTCACGCGCCTCCCTGACACTCTGCGCTCAGTCAGGGACCACTTCCTAGCTCGCTGCCCCACCGAGCTCACCATTGCCCTCCTCGAGAAGGAACTGCTTGCAGCTGAGGCTAGCATAGTCGCTGTAGGTGCCTCTCGCGGTGACCCCCGTACCCCGTTCTTTGAGGGGTGTTCTCCCTCCCCCCTTCTTCCCTCTGTCGCCTCTGCTGCTGCTGTCGACCTCCTTGGTGCTGAGAAGGTCGGGACTGCGTCTGCTTCGAGTGGGCGCCGCAGCGGCAAGGGCAAGGGGGGCAAGGGCGGTGGTGGTGATAGCGGGGGTGGCGGTGGTGGGGGAGGTGGTGGTGGCGGGGGGGGTGGCGCGGGTGGGGGAGGTGGCAGCAGTGGGGGGGGGTGGCGGCAGCGGCGGGGGAGGTGGCCGGGGCGGAGGAGGTGGTGGGGGTGGCGGTGGACGAGGCAGCGGCCGGGGTTGGGGTGGTCGAGGAGGTGGTAGCGGCGGTGGTGGTCGTGGAGGCGCTGGCGGTGGCCAGGGCCAGCAGCACACTCCGTCGCCCCAGGAGGTCCGTGAGTGGTACTCTCAGCACGGGGGGGGGGGTGGCCTTAGCTGCACGTACGTCATTCGCACTGGTGACCGCACTGGCCAGCCGTGTGGGGGACCGCACGCCACACAGCGTTGCTTCGCTCGTCTGAACGACGCTTGGCGTGTTCAGTTCCCTCAGGCCACTGAGCTGCCCCGCTGGGTTGATCTCCTGAAGAAGGGGTTTGATATTTATGCTCTAGACTTTGATGCTATTCTCACTGCCATGTATGTGATGTCTACTAGTGGAGAGGGTGCTGAGTACCTGAGTGTCCCGCCCGACCCGGGCATTAGGACTAGTGCGTCTGCCGCTCCAGGTACTCGCGTGTCCGCTACCCCAGGTGCTGGTGAGGCTGCTGCTCTAGGTGCGTGTACGTCTGCCCCCCCTAGTACTGTGTCGACTGCAGCATTGCACACCTTCACACTGGATTCAGGTGCCTCTCGCTGTTTCTTTCGTGACCGCACTGCCCTTGAGCCCCTTGCTCGGCCAGTTGCTGTCTCCCTCGCTGACCCCTCTGGGGGTCCGGTCCTTGCGACCTCCTCCACTGTCCTTCCCTGTCCTGCGGTCCCGTCGGGCACACTGTCAGGTCTCCACCTCCCCTCGTTCTCTACGAACTTGGTGGCAGGTTGTGCACTACAGGACGCGGGTGTTCACCAGTTCACCCCTGCCTACGAGCGTGTCACACACTGCATGTGTGCCCGTACAGGCCGCCACTTGGCTACCTTCACCCGGCAGCCGGGGTCGGATCTGTACACACTGACTACTGCCCCCCCTCAGGTCGCTGCGTCCGCGTCTGCGTCTGCGTCAGGTCAGCTGTCCGCCCCCTGCTCGTGTCGCTCTCTAGCGCACGAGACTGTCCTCTGGCACCACCGACTGGGCCACCCGTCTGTGCAGCGCCTTCGTGCCATGCACTCCCGGTACCTTGTCTCTGGTCTTCCCAGGGTCCTCCCTCCCCTCCCACCCTCGCCTGCTCCTCCCTGTCTTCCCTGTGTCGAGGGGCGGCAGCGCGCCGCTCCTCACTCCTCCTCGTTTCCCCCGACGACTGCTCCTTTGCAGACGCTCCACATGGACGTGTGGGGCCCAGCCCGCGTCCGTGGTCAGGGTCAGGAGAGGTACTTCCTGATCGTTGTTGACGACTACTCGCGCTACACCACGGTCTTCCCCTTGCGAGCCAAGGGTGAGGTCCCTGATGTTTTGATCCCTTGGATCCGCAGAGCTCGTCTCCAACTCAGCGAGCGTTTCCGCTCGGACTTTCCTGTCCTGCGCTTGCACTCTGACAGAGGTGGTGAGTTTTCCTCCGACCTCTTGGCAGCCTACTGTGCTGAGCACGGCATTGAGCAGTCGTTCACGCTTCCGGCCTCTCCACAGCAGAATGGGGTTGCGGAGCGCCGCATTGGCCTGGTCATGGAGGTCGCTCGTACCTCCTTGATCCATGCGGCTGCCCCCCACTTTCTGTGGCCGTTTGCGGTCCGGTACTCTGCGCATCAGCTCAACCTCTGGCCCCGTGTCTCCTTGCCGGAGACCTCGCCCA